ACGTTTATGAAAATTGTGTGACAGTTATGACATTGGAGATGATTTCTACAGTTTATTCAAATGTAAATTTTCAATGAACAAATGTACATTCCAAACTACTACTCAAGATGACAAAAAATATCACACTGCCAAAACATACCTGTCGATTGTGTTGTACGTTATGTACCATATCCGTAGCCCTACCCCTTAATGTGTTGTACGTTATGTACCATATCCGTAGCCCTACCCCTTAATGTGTTGTACGTTATGTACCATATCCGTAGCCCTACCCCTTAATGTGTTGTACGTTATGTACCATATCCGTAGCCCTATCCTTAATGTGTTGTACGTTATATACCATATCCGTAGCCCTACCCTTAATGTGTTGTACGTTATGTAGCATATCCCCAGCCCTACCCCTTAATGTGTTGTACGTTATATACCATATCCGTAGCCCTACCCTTAATGTGTTGTACGTTATATACCATATCCGTAGCCCTACCCTTAATGTGTTGTACGTTATATACCATATCCGTAGCCCTACCCTTAATGTGTTGTACGTTATATACCATATCCGTAGCCCTACCCCTTAATGTGTTGTACGTTAAATACCATATCCGTAGCCCTACCCCTTAATGTGTTGCATTATGTATCATATCCGTAGCCCTACCCCTTAATGTGTTGTACGTTATGTATCATATCCGTAGCCCTACCCTTAATGTGTTGTACGTTATGTAGCATATCCGTAGCCCTACCCTTAATGTGTGTTGTATACCATATCCGTAGCACCTATGTGTTGTACGTTATATACCCCCTACCTTAATGTGTTGTACGTTATGTATTATATCCGTAGCCCTACCCCACGTTATGTGTATCCGTAGCCCTAGTTATGTATTATATCATATCCGTAGCCCTACCCCTTAATGTGTTGTACGTTATGTAGCATATCCGTAGCCCTAGCCCTTAATGTGTTGTACGTTATGTACCATATCCGTAGCCCTACCCCTTAATATGTTGTACGTTATATACCATATCCGCAGCCCTTCCCCTTAATGTGTTGTACGTTATATACCATATCCGTAGCCCTACCCTTAATGTGTTGTACGTTATGTATCACATTCGTACCCCTACCCCTTAATGTGTTGTCCGTTATGTATTATATCCAAGGCGCCAATCAGAATATTTGATGCTCCGGACAAGCATCACTCTGGATGTCCTTCCACAGTATACAGATAACCATACTGCATCTGATGTACACCCGTTCTACAGAACATTCGCCAATCTATTGTGTTACCAGATTGTGTGTTCGAATCCCTGGTTATGGTTCCGGTGTATCAGGTATTTCGATTGACTGCCATGAGTATGCATGTACCCCTGCCATTACTTCAACAAGCGTCACGTCACTGGAATACAAGCATAACGAAAACTGAAGATGTGAATTAAACGAGTTTATTTTAGCTTTATGAAAAGATTAATTCAAGCTCTCTTGAACAGAGAACATGGGACAACAGCACAATAAGAGTAATTAGAAGTAAGTGAGAAATACATGTGACAGCTGTATACTGTGTAACCGGTCTCGGTGGTCTCAAATGTCAGACGGCGCAATATATGCGCCACTGGAACAGTCAGTTACTGGTTCTACTTTGGGGAGTTTCGTCTTGGACACATCCACATTTTGTGAGACCCCATAGTTGAAACAAACGTGCCCCTTCACCTGCCAAGTAACCGAGTTCTTGTCAATGACTGAGTAAGACTTGTCCTTGGTAGGTAAACGGTCGCCGAGAATGGTGCCAATTTTGTTTTGGACCATCTTTACAAACTCGCCATCTCTTGAGATTCTGATCTTTACTTTTCCTGTCAAAGTGACCTTCACCTCGAAGTCACTTTCAAATGTCTCCTCCTTGACCTCCAGCCTCGCTATGGTTCTAGCCTCTTTGGGGGCCAGCACATTGGTGTCGATAGACCAAGCCAGCTCATTCTGCACGGTGTGGGTGGTCTTAGACCGGATGACCATTTGGCGTCCAAAACCGGCGGTTGCTTTACGGACTGGTTCTGGAATGTCGATGCTGAATCCGACGTCATCGCCGCTGGTGAATCCCTCCTTTAACTGTACTTCAGCAGTTGCATGCGTGACCTTCTGGGCAGTGAACCTATGCTGTTGGTCATGCTTCATTCGGTTGTCATAGTTAGAGTTGAACACGATTTGGGTGGAAGACTCCCGAGGTCCAATTTGGCTCTTAATGGGGGGGTATTCCAGATCGCTGGTTGTACATGTGATCTCATCCAAGAGGACCTCGAGGTCGGCGTCATCGAAGTCTATTTGTTTATCTTTATCTGTTGTTTTCACATAGGTATCCCAACCAAATGTCTTCAGAGGCTCCAGGATGTCGGTTATTTTGCTCATACTGTAACAAACAAACAACATACAGTTTATACTTCATAATCAGATAATGTGAGTATTAATCTTCTAGAGCGTAAGAGTCAGGTTGGATCGCATAATCCCCATGGAGCTGAGAATGACAGCCCGGTGCCAACTGATCCAGTTGTATAGTGTTAATGTAAACATGTTTCAGCATCATTGTGGGTGAAGATTATAAATTATACATATGCACATGTTCGCCTTCGTCCTGGCGGGGTGGGGGTGAGGGCTATGAGTGAGCGAGGTTTAGTTTTGCGCCGCTTTTATCAATATTCCAGCAATATCACGGCAGTGGACACCAGAAATGGGCTTCTCACTCAGGGCTATGACGGCGGGGAGACCGGGTAGTAGCATTTCTGAGTATTGGGCTGAGTAGTATTGCTACGGGCGAGGAGCGAGGGCTGTGGGGTGGCTCTACCGCCTAGGACTGTGGGTGGCTCTACTGTCCGGGGGCTGTGGGGTGAGGCTACTTGTGATCGAAGTACGTTGGTCTATGAGATGGGACTCCTGGCCCTGAGGTAGGGCTATACGGGCAGGGGTATAGGGCTGTGATGACTCTGTGACAGCATCGAGCCTTGGTTTAGTGAAAGAAAGTAAACACTTTAACTGTCAAAGCAACCACTGAACACACAGTCCAGTAAAACTGAACGCCATATATATCCCATATATAACATATGCAACATCAATAATCTAGAATTTACCGTGAAACTATAATACTAAACATATAATACTATTTTAAAGATTTGCTTAAGAAATATGGTTGTTTCATAAAAACTGTAATTGGTTTAAAATCTCACGTCATACTAAAATACTCCGGTCAATAATTCAACATCCAGTCATTGTCGGAAAGAAACATGTCCCTCTTCTATACGTACACACAAGAAACCGTATTATTGACCACAGAAGATTCCCCATGACGGTGACTGAGCAATTATAGACTTTACAGGTGTACTTGTGTACATTTGTGACAACGAACCTGTAAACAACATATCCAACATGAACAAACAAGAACACTCCACTTACCTTGTTCCGGGCTTTTTGTTCATTGCCTTGTCTCCTTGAACGAATTATAGCTTAAATAAACACTGCACCAGATCGGCGTATTTATACTCTCTGCCCATTCCTTTTATAAAACGTCCTTCCAACTGCAGTCACGCAAAATCTTGAAAGTCTGGGAATGCCAACACTTGTCGCCTGCTATTGGTCAAAGTGTGTTCGAGGTTTCGTGGTGGGCGTGTCCTGCATTCCCATGATTCATAGTCAAGATGTCGTGTTTCTATTTATAGCGAGACAGCGTTCGTTGCGCATGATAGCATTTGTTTCACGAATTCATCCTGATCTAAAGTTGGGTCGATCGGTCAGTTTGAATCTTAAACATTTTAAATCTTGAGAAAACAGTACAGCAAATTTATTTGTTGTTAAACTTGCATATTTTGAATCCATAACACAGAGTGCACTGCAAGCAAAAGCAACAATGAATGTCAAATAGATTGAATCAGGTGTTACTATCACAAGGTTAGACACTTCTGTAAAGGAAAGGTTAATTATACTCTTTAACATATGATAGTGTTTTGGTAAATGAAGTGTACAAACCTAGAGAAAACTAGAGCATGTAAAAACCTCTCTGAACAAGCTAGTAAAGCACTTTGGCCTGTTAAATCATTGATAAGGCGGTATAATATGTGTTTTTCTGATGCTTTCTATACTTTTGATAAGAAGATTGTTCCAATTCTTACATATGCATATGCAAATAAATCGCTCTCTCTCAAATGAAGTGTAAAATAATATTTCTTAACGTTTAGACTTCTTGGTCAGCAGGAACTGTACTAGTTGTGATATCAAACAAAACTACTAAATCTGAATCTAATATTTGTTTTAATTTTCCTTTTATTACCTTTACAATATCTTACATTCCTAAGTTTCTATTACACTAAACCTCTGTCAAACAATCTAACACCCAAATGGTTACCACTAACGAACTATCTCAAGGCGTGCTGCCTTATCAACATCTCGAAACGAACTAACTACAATTTCCCTTCGAACTCCACACGTGGCGAAAACGCATGCTTTTTGCATGCTCGAGCTTTCCGCGAAGTAAGTTGTTGTCAGGTGTGTTTTCGCGAACTGTTCGTATGTACACAAACTGAAACCTAATAACCTGTCTGGTTAACAGTAGTGAATACATCAGTACAACGAATGAACAATACATTTATGTGGACAATCCTTTTGTCCATATCCCCCTCCTTGATAGAACGGAGTTTATCAACACAAATAACGAACTTACCTGATTCAAAATAATATCCTAATAGCATCCACTCATATATCCAAACATTCTGCAAGTACAGCGAATAAATCCAATGTCACAAATGTCAGAATAAATCCATTGTCACAACATTTTCAGTGTCACAATAATTCCAATGTCACAATATATCTAGTGTCACAATAATCCCATGTCACAATAAATCCATCATTGCGAAAATACTTTTCCGGAATGTTACATCAAATGTTCACAGTTCAGTTCCACACATCCACGAATCTCCAAAAGTCCACGTTTTGAATGTCACAGTGTCCACAGAATCCTTTTCTTTTTTAATCCTTGAAACTAACAGTTGATGGAATCCATTTCCAGACTGCACACTTTCGTCACTGGCCTGGTCAAAACTGTTTTACCAGTCTGTATATCCACCACTCTTGTAAAACCATCCTTCCCAGGGTGAGTCTTGATAATTCGTCCCATAGGCCAGTGTCCACGTGGAGTGTTAGGCGATATCACCAGCACGATGTCATTCACGTTGATATCCTGTCGACGAGTGAGCCACTTCCTCCTTCTGTTAAGACTGGGTATCCACTCCTTCATCCACCTGCTCCAGAAGTGCCGTATAAGCTCCTGTATCCTTCTCCATCGTTTCCTTGGGTTGAAGGTCGTTGTATCCACCGATTCCGGAGCAAAGGTGCCTCCTGCCTGTCCGTGAAGAAAGTGGTTCGGCGTCAGAGGTACATCATCCTGTGGATGTACTGTCTGATAGGTCAATGGGCGGGAATTCATCAAGGCTTCTGCTCCAATGAACGCTGTCATGAGTTCTTCATCTGTTACATCAATGTTTCCCAGAATAGCGAAGATTGCGTTTTTGGCCGACTTGACCATTGTCTCAAACACACCTCCGAAGTGAGGTGCATATGGAGGGTTAAACTTCCATTTTGTTCCACGATTTGCTAATGTTCGTTTCACAGCATCACTGTCCAGACATTCAACGAGTTCTTTGAGCTCTTTCTCAGCCCCAACGAAGTTTGTTCCATTGTCACACACGATGTCCTCAGGGAGTCCTCTGCGACTGGCCATGCGATAAAATGCATTGAGAAAGGAATTCGTGTCCAGGCCATATGCGATCTCCAGATGTACAGCCCTCGACGCAAGGCACGTGAAGAGGCATAGATAGCGCTTCATTCTTGCTTTTCCTCTTCCCTGTACTGTCAGAAAAGGTCCAGCGAAGTCGAGTCCTGCTTGTGTGAAAGCACGGAGAGAAGGTTTGAGTCTCATGCTTGGAAGAGGAGCCATGATCTGGTGTGCTACTTTCGCCTTCTGCTTACGACATTGTGAACATTGTCGCTCCCAGTCTCTAATTTCCTCTCTGTCAGAAAGGATCCAAAATTTTGCAGAAAGTGCTGCTAATGTCTGATTGGTTCCTGTAATATGACGTCCTTCCTCATGGTAAGACTTCACAATTAATCTTGTGATCCAGTTTCTTCGCGGCAAGATGATCGGAAACCTTGAATCTTGAGAAAGATGCTCAGCATAAGCCAATCGTCCATCCGATCTCATCACTCCATCTTCATCCAGCTTCGGTTGTAGTCCTAACAGCTTGCTATTAGATGGTAACGGTTTTCCCTTTTCAAGGCAGGAATATTCATCAGGGAATTCTTCTCTCTGCATCTGTGCTATTATCTTGAACTGTGCTGTTTCAATTTCTTCTGCAGTCAGTTCTCCATGAATCCTTTTAAGGTTCCCTTCAACACAGTTGTTCAAGAATCTGTATACCCATGCTTGGATTCTTGTCAGTCTTCTCCAATCTGAGTATCGTGTAGCTTTGAGTCTCGACTCTTCACAGAACGAGTCGTTCGCTACCATGGTAATTATCTTGTTTACCTTCAGAGTTTTAGTTTCTGGTAAACATTTCCTTCTGTCTTCTCTTTCAGACAGATTCCTGGGCCATTCACTTTCATCTCTAGCCAGGAAAAGGGGTCCTGACCACCACATCTGATTGTCAATCAACATAAGATGCAGCTATTCCTCTAGTCAACATATCTGCTGGATTTTGGTCTGTTGGCACATACCGCCACTGACACGGATTAGTCAGTTCTTGAACTTCACTAACTCTATTTGCTACAAATGGTTTGAATGTTCGGCTATGGTTCTTTATCCACCCCAAAGCATTTGAACTGTCTGTCCAAAATGTAACTGTGTCAATCAACACGTCCAAAACCTTTGCGATTGCAATAGCTAATCTGAGTCCAGTCACAGCAGCCATTAACTCCATGCGTGGAATGCTAATAGCTTTCAGTGGTGCTACTCGTCCTTTCGCAGCAATGATTACACTGGAGATTTCATTATTCAGGTAAGTATTCACAGCATACACAATGGCACCATAGGCATTTTCAGATGCATCTACAAAGCTGTGTAGTCTAGTTTCTTTGACCTTGTTACCACAACGCAAACATCTTGGAACCTGAATGTGTATTAAATCTTCCCGTTCCATAAGCCACTGATATGCTTTCTCTTTCAGATCATTGTCTAGTTCCTCGTCCCAATCTAACCCTACTGTCCACATTTCTTGTAAGATGATCTTAGCCCTTACAGTGAAGGGTGCAAGAAATCCTAGAGGATCAAACAGTTTTGCTATTTGACGAAGGAAGATTCTTTTTGAGATTGTGTTGTTCAATGCAGGTAAGTTGGAAGTGAATGTAAAGACATCTCTTTCAGCTACCCACATGAGGCCGAGTGTCTTTGTCGAGGGTAAGTAACCACTGTCTAACTTGACTTCTGATAATCGTTCTTCAACAGGTATCTGACTGAGAACCTCGTGAGAATTTGAAAGCCACTTCCGAGGACGCATTCCAGCTCTATTCCAAAGCTCAATCAACTGTCTGTACAACTCAATGGCTGTTTTCTCATCCTCCACAGAGTCCATGCTATCATCCATATATGTAGCTTTTTTCACAGTTTCTGCAGCTAACGGAAGATCACCCTGATGTTTATTGGCATTTTCCTGACTCACAAACTGAGCTAAAAAAGGAGATGCATTCACCCCAAATACAACTCTACTGAACTCATACTCTATGGCCTGCTCATCTCGTTTCATGGATCTCCAAAGGAACCTATGATAGGGCCTATCATCTGGAGATAATTTGACTTGAAGGTACATCTCTGCTATATCGCTCATCACTGCAACTGGATTGCGTCTAAATCTCAACAAGACATCAAACAGTTCCCTCTGTAACTTTGGGCCTTGATGGATAACTTCATTCAGAGAAATACCCTTGTACTTGGCCGAAGCATCAAATACAATCCTCACTTTTGTTGTGAGACGATCTAAACGTACAACCGGAAAATGTGGCAGATACCACTTTCCAGTATGTGTCTTTTCTTCAGAAGATACTTTTCTTATATACCCTTTTTTGTGATACTGTGAGATGATATCATCATATGCTTGAGCTATTGTCTCATCCTTTGCTAATTTCTTTTCTGTGCTCTCAAGACGACTGAGAGCCATGTGATAGTTATCAGATGGTAAAGCATGTACCTCTTTCTTCCATGGTATGCCAATTTGATAGTGACCATCCTCATACACCAATGTATCTTTCACCCTATTGTGCACATTCTTGTCTTCAGGGCTCATATTTTCATTTTCTTTTGACTGAAATCGCTCAATTTCCCAAAACTTTTGCAACAACATATTCAACTCTTGGTTATCAGCATTGGAACCAGAAAAGAAAGTACTGGTAAAGTGAGACTGAATGTCAGAGCCTGTCCCTGCAATATTTCCAATACAGGTCCAGCCTAGAGGAGTTAACCTTGCTAGAGGTTCACCTGGATTTCCACCTACATCTGATTAGGAATAATGAAGATCTGCATTGTCCATGCCTATGAGGATATCTACAATTGGAGGGGAGGCAATTTTAGGAAAATCTATGTCTTTCAAATGTGGCCATAACTTACCATACTTCTTCCAGTCAACAACCTGCAAATCACCTGTAACCTTGGTTGTTGTGAAAGCAGTTATACTAACGTCAACTTCTCCATCTCTACTCTCAAGTCCAAATGCCACTGGCATAGTTTCAAACGAGGCTTTCTCATCATTCAAAACATTCACCGTCACTTTTTTGGTTTCACCTTGCAGTCCTAGCTCTGCAGCAACGTCTGCATTAATATATGACCTTGTGCTCGCGTCATCTAATAACGCATTAACTGTGACTCTGCGATTCCCATGTTTAAGTATCACTGGCACTGTTCTAAGCCCTATGAGTGAAGGTTTTGAAGCTACGTTGCATTCCATATTAGTTGCATGTGACCGTTCATGGTTTCCTTTTGAAATATTGTCTGTATTTCCCACGTTGCTTTGTTCAACGGAACCGTTTTCAGTTCTGACAGCTGAATGAACCTTGTCCCTATTCACATGCAAGAGTCTGTTGTGGTTGCTTGTGCATCCATCCATACCACACAACGTTGTTCGCCAACAGTGTTTACCACGATGATTGCTTCCGAGGCAGCGGAAGCAAAGATTTAACTCCTTTGCTTTGTTCCATCTATCTTGAACTTTTAATGTGATGAACTTTCTACAGTTCCATACATCATGAGGCTCTGTACATACTCTGCACAAGTACTTCTCACCAGCATAGTGTGTACCACGATTCTGGTTGCTATCATGCACTAGAAATGTACGAGGAGCTCGTTTGTACTCTGATTTTACTGACTTATCACAGACACCACGAATGGTCTCAGCTGCAATAGTTTGAAACTCTGCTTCTTGGAGCACCCATTCTCTGAGAGTTTCAACTGACTCCTGCCTTTGTCTATCATATACCCAACGTTGATACTCTGTAACCATGGCCTCGGTCATCTTTGTTTGCAACTTCATATAAAGTAAGCCATTTCCTAATTCTTCAACCCTGTCAGATTCGCGAAGATTAACTACAGCTACATCAAGCATGTCTGCAAATCTATCTAGGTCTTTTGCATGACCAGGTCGAATGGGTTTGAAATTGTCTATTTCTGCAAGATGTAATGCAATCTGTCGTCTCTTGCCGCCAAATTTTCTCTCAAGTCTTTCAAGAGCGACCTGATAAGCAATTGCATTATGTCCCAAATCTTTAACCACTCTAAGCGCTTCCCCTGCTAAATACTGACGCAACTGCAGTAGTTTGTATTCCGATGTTGCTGGTGAATTATCAATGCATGCAATAAATGCTGCTTTCCATCCCTGATACGATCTAACATCGCCAGCAAACACTGGAATAGTAACTCTACCCAACTGCCTCCACATGTCACGTCCTATTGCACCTTTAGCGGTTTGTTCTGGGATATTTGTGCGTGTACTGTGTTCATAGTGTGGATTGACATTTAACATGACGTTTGGTTGATCAAATTCATCTTCATTTCCTGCAGTTTCTTTGTTAACTGTGGGTCTTGTTTTACCCTGTTTAGTTGGCTTCTGTTCGCCAGGTAAACCTTGCTCTTTACTATTTCCTTGATCACGACTGAACAGCATTGACATCCCTGTTCTTAAACTAAGTGCAGAACTAGCATCTGATCTAGAGTCTAAGTACTGCTGAGCATGTGCCTGTGCACTGTCATGTTCATCTTCAAGCCTAGTTATTGCCATGCTAATGTTATTGCCATGCTAATGTTATTAACATTTGCTACATCATTGATTTTTGAATATTCTTCTGACAGTTTTATCATTATTTCCATTGCATGATCTTGCACAATGCACAATTGGTCCATTTGATTTCTAACAGCCCTACGAGTTTGAACATTCTGACCCTCGGTCATGTTGTAGAGTTTATTTCTAGCTTTCGTGAAAGCAGACTTTGCACTGGCTTTTTGCTTTTTAAGTTTTATCAAAACATCTTCAACGACTGTCCTCGACTGACTGTTTTGATCAGGGACCGGCTTAGTTTCCGTTTTTATTAAATCCGTTTCATCTGGACTTACCTGTTTAGGTTCTGACATTATTATTCTTTGTTTTCTAAAACTAACCTAACAAACTTTCTATCAGCTAACTTACCTTTCACAGACTAGAACAATTCCTGCATCCAAACTAATTCTAACTTGCAACACCATGACCCACCACCAGGCAATAACCATGTGCAACAACTAATAAACCACGAACTAACCACGAAGACACCACGATAAACCACGCTCTGCTACCATTTTGGTCAGCAGGAACTGTACTAGTTGTGATATCAAACAAAACTACTAAATCTGAATCTAATATTTGTTTTAATTTTCCTTTTATTACCTTTACAATATCTTACATTCCTAAGTTTCTATTACACTAAACCTCTGTCAAACAATCTAACACCCAAATGGTTACCACTAACGAACTATCTCAAGGCGTGCTGCCTTATCAACATCTCGAAACGAACTAACTACAATTTCCCTTCGAACTCCACACGTGGCGAAAACGCATGCTTTTTGCATGCTCGAGCTTTCCGCGAAGTAAGTTGTTGTCAGGTGTGTTTTCGCGAACTGTTCGTATGTACACAAACTGAAACCTAATAACCTGTCTGGTTAACAGTAGTGAATACATCAGTACAACGAATGAACAATACATTTATGTGGACAATCCTTTTGTCCACTTCTCGTGAAGTTTCGCTCGTCCTCCACCTACGGCCTTCATCCCAGCACTGATACGTTAAGGAAGCAACAGACTGAGCAGTCGCTAGGGCTGTGGTCGAGTTGGCGGAAATAAGAACAAGACGTTTTTTCAATTACAACATCTATTGGACGAAGAGAAAATATATAATGTTGCCTCATGATAAATATTTTAATAACGATTCCTTATGTTATGTTAGGGATGAAAACGTGTTAACTCATTAACCTCAATGTATTTTACAAAGTATAGTTAACCCTCCTGAGTCCGGACGCCTTACTATATGGTCAATTACCGCTTAAATCGTATGAAACACGGAGACGTTACTACTTACCCAGGACTCGTTAATACGGACATTTGTTATTGATAAATGTATGTTAATACATAATTATTTTCTCGTTTCATCGATACAGTCCGATAAACGAGGTTCAACATTATAATGAACTGGTCTGTCGCTCTCATAGGAGTAACGACACATACACACACTAATCAGAGCTGAATGATGGGGGACACGGGGGAAGTTGCGAGAAAATCTGCTACCAAGTAAAATGGGGATAGACCTTTCCATACAGTGTGACGTAACTTGGTATGTGGGTGAGTATCGTTTAGTTTTACGCCGGTTTTTGCAATATTCCTACAATATCACGGAGGGGGGACATCAGCACCTTGTACCCATGTGGTGAACCAAACCCGGGTATTCTGCGAGACGAGCGAATGCTTGAACCCCACCGCCCTGGGTATGTGAAGGGGTAGTGTATTATGCATGTGCAAATGCCATGTCGTGAGTTGCACATTGTCACCCGGGCCGCACTGATCTGTCCCATGCCGACACATGCCCCTCAGACACACGTCATACAGCAGAGTGTATCAATAACACACTTATCGATTCTATCGATCACTGCAATAATGGCTTACTTGTCAGGCTCACATCGAAGGAGCGCAATTTGTGTTGACTGTTGTCTGCTTTATCAAAGCCAAATATTTGGCTACAGACAGCTGTTAATTAACCAGTGTTTTTATGTCGCAGATGAAAAGCTGTAACTACTTTTCCCCATTGTATTCAGCTCTGGCTGGGTCTACTCCATAACTAGTGGTGTTGGATTCTGAAAAAGAAAATATGTATGTAGTGTATAATCACTTAACTTTTATGAAAGTATCATTTTTTCAATAAACTTTATTCAGTTACTTTACTTATACTTACGTCGCTCGCAGATTACAGATTATTTAAATGTTATTTTATTCCGAATGATAGGTGATGTGGCGCCCAGTTTGTCGTCAAGTTGCCCCATCATGGAAATACCCACTGGTATTGTTGCAATCTGTGGCTATATTGTCACTATGGCGCCTTAATAACTCGTGTGTGTCCCAGGCCTCGTTAAACCGGACACAGCTGTGATGTAGCTCATGAGTTGTGGATATATATATAGTAAGGCCTCGTTAAACCGGACACAGCTGTGATGTATAACTCTTGTGTTGAGGATATATATAGTAAGGCTTCGTTAAACCGGACACAGCTGTGATGTAACGCGTGTGTTGGGGATATATATAGTAAGGCCTCGTTAAACCGGACACAGCTGTGATGTAACTCGTGGGTTGGGGATATATATAGTAAGGCCTCGTTAAACCGGACACAGCTGTGATGTAACGCGTGTGTAGAGGATATATATAGTAAGGCCTCGTTAAACCGGACACAGCTGTGATGTATAACTCTTGTGTTGAGGATATATATAGTAAGGCCTCGTTAAACCGGACACAGCTGTGATGTAACGCGTGTGTTGGGGATATATATAGTAAGGCCTCGTTAAACCGGACACAGCTGTGATGTAACTCGTGTGTTGGGGATATATATAGTAAGGCCTCGTTAAACCGGACACAGCTGTGATGTAACGCGTGTGTTAAGGCCTCGTTAAACCGGACACAGCTGTGATGTAACGCGTGTGTTGGGGATATATATAGTAAGTCTCGTTAAACCGGACACAGCTGTGATGTAACGCGTGTGTGTGGGGATATATAGTAAGGCCGTT